GAAGGCCTGGCGCAATATGGTTCATGGGGTCACGAAGAGTCGGACACGACTTAACGACTAAACAACAACAACAATAAACAAAGAAAAGTGGGTAGCTCATCCAAAAGAGAGATTGAGCCTTAGAGAAAAATAGCTTTGAAAGACATTAGGCAAGACTTGAGCGCATCCAGAATAAAAACTCTTAATGTACTCTGATTAGTCCTGCCTGTATGCCCATAGAAGGCTTAGTATATTGGGGTTCTTCCTGATCCTGGAAGAATTCACCCTGCAGAAGGTTTAGGCTACATATTTTTTTTTATTTAATATATTTATTTTTTTTGTAACAAAACTACCTTTAATCTTAAAAAAGGAAACTTTAAAAAATTAAAAATACAAACTAAGAAGGCTACATATTAATTTTGTGTATGTGTTTTGATCTACGGATCTTTGGAAGCTTGCCTTGCTAGAGGTACCTGTTTGAGATACATCACTTTGAGGGTCTAGTTTGTAAACATCTACTTCACAAGAAGTTGTTTGATGGGAAGCTAGTTCCCATTCTATTACCAGCATCTTTTACATGATAAAACTATCCCTAGCATGCTCTATTAGGATATTGGGTTACACATTTTACAAAATTGAGACCATAAATTAAAAAGGGTTAAAATAAGATGTCTTAACAGCATCCTGTGATTTTCAAATAGTACATGGGGAAGAAATAATTAAGTGGATCTAGATAGAAATCCAGTATGGTATTTAGTTCCTTAGTCCAGAGTTTAAAAGAGTGTGTATGGCACTGAATATTAATCATGGATATTTTTTTTTGCCAGATTCTATCTTTGTCTTTTCTGATTTCAGCTGTATATAAACAGCTTGGAAGTTTCAAAGGTTTTTGCTTAAAACATTGCTGGCATTTGATTGCCAGATGATTATAGGGATTTCTACCATGCAGAAGGTTATCATCTGTATATACAGAAATTAATGTTGAGGATTGTATGTGAACTGCAAAAATTAAGGCCTTTTTTTGTTTGTGGCTTGGGATAGAAAGACATTTTGCATCCTAATGTCTCTTTGAGTTGCAGAAGAAGAGACCTGAACATTACGACCAGGCAATAGGATCAATAGCATCTTGAAGGAAATCCAACGTTTTATTCTTCATGGATGGATCAGAGCTGAATCTGCACCTTGTTTGGCTACAACTTAAGAAATAAAAATAATACCTTGATAAATGTTTCCTTTTGTCTGATTACTAGATAGGAGAATAGGATAGGAGATAAGATAGCGAGATTGATGGATTTAGTAATACATTTAATAAATCTGGGAAAAATTCTTTGCTGTAAAAAGTAAGTTTGTGATCAACACCATCCATTTTAGAGCTTATATGCAGCAAGATAATCCAATGTTTCCCTAAATTATTCTAATTTATACTGCAGATGGAGAATTATAATGATAATAATGCTATAAAGATAGATGTTCTGAAATATTATGAATGTTAAATGATAAAATGATGAATAACTGCATTTTTATCACCAACATAATTTCATCAAAAATAATATTTTACTCATTATGACTCCTTTCTACCTGTTCCACTGAAGGAGCAATTATGTATATATTGCTTCTTCTGAGACCCTATAGCACATGTCCCCCAGTGAAAGAGACAAAAATGCTACCATGAGAAGTTTAATGGATGCAGCCTTTGTCCTTCTGTGACAAAATATACTGAATAGGACCCATGCATGGGAACTATTTCTCTGTCAGTTAAATTAATGTTTGTGTTACAACCGTAGCAAAGTGCTTAACTGAGCCTCTGTACCATAATCAGTGTCTTTGGCAAACTATCTGGTGACATGAGGGTTTGCTCTAATCCTCCCAGTAGCTTCCATGAGAATTACCTGTTTGCAACTGTGGCATGAAGTTCAGGATTCTGTAAAAAGAATGGAGAGTTCTTTTCACATTTGTTTTTTTATATATAATTTTTATTAAAGATTTTTTTAAAAGGAAGATAAAAACTAACAAGATAATGTAAGAAAAAGAAATCGGAGAAAGCTAAAAGTGCAAGAAAGGAAAAAAGAAGAAAAATAGAAAAGAAAGAAAAAAGATACAAAGAAGTTTTTGACCTTTACAGCAGTTAGTGCAATTATACATTTACCTCTTACTCTATGGCTACAACATAATTCTCCTCTTTCTATCATCTGTCCTGTCTAATCACCAAATCCATAAATCATAAGTTCGGGTTTTTTTGTTTCACACAGAGAGTCTATATCCAGTCAGCAATAAATGCAGATACTGTGTTTTCTCTGATCAAAGAAGTCAGTGTAGCCATCTCAGCAAGTTCCATCATCTTCACCAACCATTCCTCCATTATGGATTATGCCAAATCTTTTCATTTTTTTGCATGCAATCATCTCACTGCAGTTACCATGTTCAAAAACTGAGTTCCATGACTTTTTTCCAACTGTCCATCAATCCAAAAAGAAAAACCTCTGGTCTCAGTTGTATATTAATCTTTAAAATCTTCTGAATCAGTGTATGTATCAACATCTCTAAAATACTTTGTCATAATAGGCATTTTTCACCATCCACTCAAGAATTGGTATCTTTTAAGAATGAGGCAATGAATTGCTGGATGATGTGGCATGCCTGTGGTGGTTTAGCAGTAAGGGAGGCTGGCCTCATTGCTATTTGTGAATTTTATTCTGTGAAATAAGCTGTTTTCAACTCCATGGCATTCTGTAAACAGATTCATTTTAAGAAAAATTACTCATGGATTTATACAATGCAGTATATGGGACTGTTGAAGTTATTAAATGCAAGGAACTTCTATGAGCCATGCTTCATTTGTATATACAGGAGGTCAAAGATCTTTTCAGCAGAGAAACATTTTTAAAAAGTCTAAAATGGTAGAATCTAGGAAAAGGTGCTTTTGCATGTGTAGAATGGAGCATTTGTTTATCTGTGTTGTGGGATTTTCATCCTAAATTATTAAACTAAGAATTTTTTAAATTGGCATTTGTTGAATAAAGCAAATGGGTTCACATATATTACACCAAAACCAAATCACATTATTAGTAAGTATGGTATGTGAGCCAGCACTGTCACATTTGACCCAAGTCCATGTGGCTTTTGCTCAAAGGCCCAAAGTTAGTGTGAAATGCCTCAGAAATCATGATTTGGACACCATTCCTAAAAGTACCATGGATTGCAAGAAAAACTAGTCAACTTCTGGAGCAAATAAAGGCTAAATGGTTTCTTGAGGTGGTGATCAGCAAGAAGAAACTGATATGCATTGGGCATACAATACAAGAGGATAGTCTAAGGAGAAAATACTTTGGTAGGGTTGAGAGAATGGAAGTCAATAAATATGATGGATGTATGGGGTCAAGGAGACTAATGGAATATCCTCAGAAGAGCTATGAGCTCCTGCTGGACACAGATCAGGATGGCCAGTGCTTCAGGACTGCCAGTGTTTGTCCAGGCGGTTGGCAGAAATCAGTGCCAGCTTGATTGGACTTAACTCATTGCAATCAAAGGTTCCCAGAACTTTTCATCAGGCAAAATGATGAGACACCAGAAAAATAAGAGTAGCAGTCAGTATCTCTGAGAATAAGGACAGAGGTGGTCTGTCTCCTCTCCTTAAGCCTACTGGGGCCGGGGGAAATGATCTTCTGAGTCCTATTTTCAGAAATACAAATTCTAGCTTTTAATTCTGTTTCCATCCTTATGCTTTTTAATATGAGGTAATTTTCTATTGCCGGTAACAGCAATAGCCGTCCAAAACACTTCTCTCCCTTAAAAAAGCAGAAGTGGATTTGTAAGTGAAAGGATTTATGAACCATGCTTCAGTTTCTGGTCTGAACGTGTGCTCAGCGGCAATCTCTTCTTTCAATCCCATTCCACCAGGTACATACATCACCGGTGAACGGGGGGGTAGTAACAAAGCAACGTCTTCATGGTAGATTCGGCAAACCCGAAGTCCGCCTGCCCTCAGCGGAGGCTCTTCAATTCCTCGCCTTCGGGTTCCTCCCAGAAAATAGCTCACAGGGCAAATTATACTGCAAAGCACGGCCTCAAACCCACAGGCTAACAGACGGATAATTTGCAGTAAGTTACTTTGCAAACAACCCAGGCCGGCGAACAGATTTAAGCTGACCTTTTTACTCAGGATTTTAAGGGTGGGTGCTATTCAGTTCCTAATGTCATCTATTGACATCGCATTAATTGGCCCGCATGTTTTAACTGCAGTTTTCGTATTTGATCTTGCATTGTATAATCTGCGTTTAGAAGGGAGCTTTCCGCGCTCCTACGTCTTGGACTTTAAGGGACGGGCATTTTGGCGCCTGCCTTTTTCAAACAGTGCGACGCGACGCGATGCGACGCTCGCCATTTCCAGGGACCACATGACGGCGGCGGGGGGGGGCTCCAAGGAGGCGGGGAAGGCCTGGCGCCCGCTCGAAACGCCGCGTCACGTGAGACTCCGGCTGCTGGCCGGGTCGCGGGGCTAGCTGCCCTGGTTAGGCGGCGCGCGAGGCGAGCTGCTCCAGCCCGGGGTCTCGCGGTGCGCCTTCCGGCTGCTTCTGCCTGGGAGGATCTGCACGGCCATGGCTTCGACCGTGCTGGTCTGGCGCGCCCTGCTGCATGCACCCGCCAGCGCTTGAGGCTTCCCTAGCAGCTCCGCTGACAACGGAGACCCCAGGTACGTCAGCACATCACGCAGGTTGCCGATCGCGCCCCTTTTCCCTTTGGGAGTCCGTCGGATGTTGTGGCTGTTTACGGTGGAGGTCCTTAAGAACGGCCGCGTTGTTTCTGTGCCGTCAGAACCGGAGGAGGACTTGCACGTGTTGGGTTGATCAGGCTGATCAGCCTTTGGGCTCCTTTTAGCCCCTCCTTCCTTCTAGGTGGTTTGCAAACATGTTAAACAACGACTTCCATAATGTTGGCTAGCACAGTGGGAGGACACCGGATCGGGTTAGGTTCAGTTGATATTGAAACCTCATTTGTTAGTGGCTTTTTCTTCAAACGCCCAGTGTCTCTTTTTCTAAGACGCTGTTGGTCCATGGGGAAAATAGTCCAAACTCTTTAGCTGGGTAATACTTTAATTAGGCCAAACAAAATAATGGACCTGCAAGGTTTTCTGTTCATGAAAACCTCCCTGAAGAGTGCTAGGGAATTTGAAGGCTTCTACATCATTTTAGGTTGCTTTGGGTTAGTCCCAGTAAAGAAATTGTCACAGCAGGTGGCAGCAGGTAGCCAATCTTGGCTGATCTTGAAAAAGCTAAACAGGTTCAACCTGCTTAGGACTTGAAAGGGAGACCAGCAGGAAATCCCAGGGCCAAAGACTAGAAGGGTGATCAGGAAAACAACAAGGTGTTGTGTCAAGCTCTCTCAACCTTTTAGCAAAGATATCACCCGGGCTTGTATTTGAATGTTTTTTCTCTGATGATATGCGTGGGATGGAAATGCTAAATAAAAAGCTCCCCCACCCACCCACCCACCACCAGATTGAAAAATTTGCTTCTGTTTGTTATGGACCACACAATGAGAGTGGGGGGCAGGATTTTAGCAGAAAGGGATTATCCCAATCCATTCCTTTTTCCTGACTAAATTATTGAATCCAAATCTTTTCTAGAGAGTCCTTGTTTAAGACATTAACATTACTTTTTTTTTTTGCTCTGTTTTGCTTTTCTTGTGCTTAGGAGGTAAATTTTAAGTTTATACAGTGGTACCTTGGGTCACGAACTTAATTCGCTCCGCGACTCTAGTTGTGACCCAAATTGGTCGTGACCTGAATCAAATTTTCCCATAAGGTTCAGTGTAAATACGGTTAATCCATTCTGAACCATATG